ATAACAATCCTACCCTAGGATGGGACGACCCACTCCCAGACAGTCTCCTACAAAAGTGGCAGCGATGGCGAGACTCCCTCGCCGAATTAGAAAGGGTCACAGTGCCCCGATGTTACCACCCAGCAGATTTTGGTAGAGTCGCTCAGGCAGAACTACACGCATTCTCCGACGCTAGTAAAGATGCCATAGGAGCCTGCGTTTACTTACGCTTAGTCAACGATGGCGGAGAGGTAGCCACGTCCCTTGTGTTTGGCCAATCAAAGGTTGCTCCCCTACAGACTACAAGCATCCCACGTCTGGAGCTCTGTGGAGCCGTGCTAGCCACACAAGCCGTCGCTAGAATATTGAAAGAAATAGACATCCAAATAGATAACATTAAGTTCTACACCGACTCGAAGGCAACTCTTGGCTACATCCAAAACGAGAGCCGAAGGTTCTATGTCTACGTCGCCAACCGAGTAGAAATTATCCGTAGGGTCTCCTCACCCGATCAGTGGAGGTACATTGAGACAAGTGACAATCCCGCGGACCTAGCCACACGTTGCCTCAATGCGAGTAGTCTGGCCGACTCAGCCTGGCTGAAGGGACCGAGATTTCTCAGAAACCCAGACGCGGTACAGCCTCAACGAGAGAATATTCAACTAGCCGAAGACGATCCCGAAGTTCGAAGAGAAGTGATAGCCCACGCATCATGCATATATAAATGCAGAGGCCTCGGAGCGGAGAGATTTTCACGTTTCTCCAACCTCCACTCCCTAAAACGCGCGATTGCACGCCTCATTGTCAAAGTTAAAGAGTTCAGGCGTCAAAAGAATGAACAAAGGCCACCGAAAGCCAGACAAACCTTCAGGAGTCCTACAGCAAACGAGCTAAATCAGGCAATGGACGCGATAATCCGGGCAGCACAGAAGGAAGCCTTTGGCGCAGAGTTAACGAACAAAGATCTCACGGAACAGAAAGAAGGGGAAAGATATCAGAACACGGTAAGGAAGACAGCCCTGAAGGGCTCCCAGTTTTACGCGCTTGACCCGTTTATCGACGCCAATGGAATTGTTCGGGTGGGAGGACGACTTAGGAGAGCAGAAATGGAGTATGGAGAGAAGCACAAATGCAATCTTACCAAAAAACCACCATGTGTCCGTCCTGGTAATTCGATATTACCACAAAGAGGTCCATCGCCAGGATCGACAGATCATGAGTGGCAAAATTCGCCAAGCCGGCTATTGGCTGATTGGAGGTCACCGCATGGTAGCGAAGGAATTAGCTTCTTGTGTGCCCTGCAAGAAGCTGAGAGGCCCCCACGTAATCCAGAAAATGGCTGACCTGCCCCAAGATAGAACCGAGGTTGGCCCACCATTCACAAACGTCGACTTCGACGTCTTTGGTCCCTGGACCGTATCCACAAGGAAGACGAGAGGTGGCGCTGCACAGTCAAAGCGTTTGGGTCTTCTCTTTACGTGCTTGAATAGCAGAGCCATTCATATAGAAGTACTAGAGTCAATGGACGCCAGTTCGTTCATTTGCGCACTGAGGCGCTTCTTCGCCATATGCGGCCCAGCAGCCGTATTGAGGTGCAACAGAGGGACTAACTTCGTCGGGGGACACACTGAGTTAGCCGAAACCCTGAAAGAAATGGACGAAACAAAGATCGAGAGATTCGTGACACAACATGATTGTGAGTGGAAGTTTAACCCACCACACGCATCCCACTTTGGAGGCGTATGGGAAAGACAGATCGGGACCATCCGCCGTGTTCTGGATGCCATGCTAGCCGACCTCGGACCAAGACAGCTAACGCACGAAATCTTGAACACTTTCATGGCGGAAGTCACCGCTATCGTAGATGCACGACCCATTGCAGCTTTGCCTTCAGACATCAACGACCCGCAGCCCCTGTCACCAGCCATGCTGCTTACAATGAAAACACGCCCACCAGGACCACCACCGGGCAACTTCCTGCCCCCGGACCTGTACGCGAACCGGCGCTGGAGTAGGGTCCAGTGCCTAGCAGATCAGTTCTGGTTACGTTGGCACCGAGAGTACCTCCAGAACCTCCAGCCAAGAAGAAAGTGGTACGACGCCCGCAGAGACCTGGCCCCAGGTGACGTCGTCCTTATGAAGGAAGACAGCCAGAATCGCAGTGACTGGCCTATGGGTCGAGTTACGGAGGCCATCAGGAGCGCAGATGGCAAAGTAAGAAAAGTGTCACTTAGGATTGTGAGAGAGGGTAGAGGAAAAGTGTTCCTACGCCCCATCAAAGAGCTCATCCTGCTGGTTCCAGTAGAGGCCCAGTGACAGACCCTTCGACCACGGCAGAGAATTAAAGGACAAACAATTAGTAGAGCAAGGATCATAGACGATCCTTGGGCGAGGAGTGTCACGTTTACGGATACGAACTCTAATCTTTTTTACTTATGTAACTCTTCCGTTTTTAGCACAAAGACACTAAGAAACTTTCAATGACTTTCTATTTAATTTGTTAGCGCGCTTTGTTTGATTTCTGTTCCGTGACTAGCGAATATCCGCTCAAAGCTAGCTACATAAAGCTCTGTTCATTTCTATTTCCCGTACGTCAAAGTGTAAGAACTAAATTCGCCTTCTATAAGCAAGTAGCTCAGTTGCGAGGAGTCACTGTAGCGAAACCATTTCGGAGCCGAACGGAGTTTAGGAGTTCTCTACCCCGGAGTCAAGATCCGATGTAAGTTACGCTTGTAATATTCCTCATTTTTATCATTTCTAGTTTCGTAGTCTTTCGGTTTTCCTTATACCGAACCTTCATGTATCCGTTCTATAGTTTTTACCACCTTTGCTGTACAAAGACTGCCAGCTTAAGTGAATAAAGAGTTTGATGCTGCTACTTGTCTAAAGTTCAACACTGAGGTTATACTGGCGAACTCCGGCGCACAACACCACGTGTCTGCGGCATCGGGAACGCGACAGTAAAAAATCGGTGAAAGGTGATGCAATTAAGCGCGCTGGGAATACCTTAAACAAATAAGTGTCAAAACTGCAAACGAAGGCGCTAGCAAATTGTTTTGGAACGGCTATGTTCGATCGCGCCGGAACGGAACAAATTAAACAACCTCGTGACACTTTAAGTAGATACAGAGACTGACCGATCATAAAGATTTTGCGGACAGTTTCAATCACTATTTCGCTTCTATCTTTACATCAGAAAACTTGACTCATCTTCCAAACTTCCCGCAGGTTGTAAGAACTGAACATCTCACACAGCTATCAACTACTCCCATTGAAATTGAAAAGCTATTGCGGGAATTAAATGTCAATAAAAGTTGAGGCCCCGATGACATTCATCCAAGGATTTTGAACCATTGTAGTAACTCACTAGCCTCGCCCTTGTATGCTCTGTTTAATACTTCATTTAATAGTGATTAATTCCCGATGACTGGAAAACAGAAAATGTGATTCCGCTTTACAAGAAAGGAGCCAAAGACAACGTAGAAAACTACAGACCTGTTTCCCTAACCTCAATTGCAAGTAAAATCTGCGAGAAGATTGTCAGGAAGTCGATTGTAAACTTCTGGACAGATCATCAAGTCTTCATAGGCGAGCAATTTGGTTTTATTAAAAAGCGTTCTTGTCTTTCGCAATTGCTCGATATCCATTCATGGGCCAAAACAAGAAATGACTCACACAAAGTAGATATAATTCTACTAGATTTTACAAAAGTATTCGACTCTGTTCCTCATCAGCGTGTCCTGGCGAAGTTGAAGGGATATGGAATTGGTGGAAACCCTCTTAAATGGCTAAGCCACTTTATCGTTGGTGGAAAACAAAGAGTCTCATTCCGTGGGCACTTTTCTCCTTGGACGATTGTCACCTCTGGTGTTCCCCAAGGTAGTGTACTTGGGCCAGTCCTTTCCCCTTCAACACTCCTCTCAGATTACACCCCAACTCCAATACCACAATCCAGCAACCAATGTAACTGCCGAACAAAGGAAGAATGCCTCCTTCAAGGAAAATGCCTGGAAACGAACGCAGTCTACCAGGTAACCATAACAACCGGTACAGCAACAGAATCATACGTAGGACTTTCAACAAACTTCAAAGAACGTTACAGAAATCATAAAACATCCTTCCGACACACCAACAAAAGAAACACTACTGAGCTGTCAAAGCATGTATGGAAATTGAAGGACGCCAAGACTTCCTTCAGTACCAAGTGGAAGATAATCAAAAATGCAACCCTTACAGCAATATTACAAAGAAATGTAATTTGTGCATTTATGAGAAAGTTTTCATAATCTGCAGAAAAGATCTATGTACCCTAAACAAACGAAATGAATTAGCGACCTCATGCCCCCACAGGAATAGATACGTGCTGCAAAACTTTCATGTAGCGTGACATAATGGTGAACGCGATACCAACCGTGTTAAACCGCGCGCGCCCGCCACCATTTAAATTCAAATCAAAACCC